TATTATATATATATATTAGTATATATATATATATATATATATATATATATATATATATATATATATATATATACACATATACATACTCAAATCATACACATTTGTTTTATACGTAATATGTTGCTTTGTAGATAAGTAAAAAAATATAATTATACGTAAGTTATTGTACAATGTGAACATAATTATAAAGTGTTAGAATTATATAAATATAAATAAAAAAATCTTTTCTGTCAAAAAATTTTCATTATTTTCTAATATACATAGATAAAATATAAATATATACATATATAGATTTATATATTTTATTTCTTATGCAATTAACATCTTTATGTATATTATTATAGTTTTATAATTATTTATTTCTAAAAACGTTTTATAATTTAATAGTACATTATTGTTTAACAAAACTTCATAATTTAGTATCTTATTATGTCATGTTATCACAGTTTTTAAATTATTTTTTATATATATTATTTATATATACATATTATTTATTCAATAATCGATAGTCTTCTGTTGAATGTATGTAATAATTTCATATACATTTCTGTAGTATTTATTTGATGGAGCAACATCTGCAGTCTAAAAAAATATAAATATAGAACAATGTTAAACATTATATAATATTAAATTTTAATTTTAATAGAAACATTGCACATATTTCATAATTAATTACTAACATACCCTTAGATCCTTTATATCAAATTTTTCATTAGAGGTTATTCGTGCAACTTTTGAATTCCAGATATCGAGACACTTCACCCATGTAATATCTCCATTATAATCAGCAACATCTTTATATAATTTTACACAACATGCCTATGAATCAAATAATAAATGATAAAAAAATATTTAGGGACAAAATGTATACTTTTATTTACTTGATTTTACCTGTAACGTAATATGTTGGTATGCATTAAGATATGATTGTGTATTACTCAATATTTGCCATAATTCCTGCTCATGTAATTTTAAAAGACCCGCAATTAATCCCAATGTAGATAACAACTCATATTGTAATTTATAAATTTGTGTGAATTTATAAATATCTACTGAGCTCTTATTAATACTTTCTTTAGAAGATTCAGTTAAAAATTTAAATATAGATGGCAATACCTCTCTGTAAAAGATCAATTATGCGATCATTACGACATTTGATGTAATATAACTACTTTTACGTAATATATTATGAAATATGAAAGATCTTTTACCGTAGAGTTCTGCTTCTAATAAAATCATTCGATATATTGGCAAGTACATGTAATAGTTGCCATGCATGATTTATTACAAGAACATTTTTATCATTAAATCTGTCGGTTAGTGGGTGCCATAATTGATGTACAAGAGGCAATAGTTCATTTTCCCACTCAACTAGTATTGGTAAACTCTCTTGAAGTGTTTGCATTGCTATCAATGATTTTTGTACATCCTTTGAAGGTAGAAAGTGTATACACTTTTTAATAACTTCTATGATTATTTTTATATGAGTTGGTAACTCCTTGTCTTGTTTGTCTAAAATATGTTATATAATAAAGAATAAATTTTGCATATTACAAAAATCTATAAAAATAAACATAAAATCTTATTACCTTCTACATTGTAATCTGAGTAATCCTCATTTCTCTGTTCTGATGATTCAGTATCTGAAATATTTGTATTTGATTTCATATCTTCAATATCATTCTCAATTTTTTCATCAATTTTCTTTGCATTATAGTATTCTAACAAAGAAAGAATGATCGTCTCTGAAGGATTACTTGTAGCTTGTGTATCCTTTTCTTTTATTACTTTCGTGTCGTCCCAATTTATTAATGTTTTTATGCACATGACAAACGTGTGAAATATCTTCAAAAACGAATAAACATTTTTTTGACGATAAGGAGTACTAAGTTGTTTAAGAACATCTTCCACAATCCCCTTCAAATGTGGCAGAAAATCTAATCTGCTGTACTTCATAACAACTTTGATAACATCGAGTACACCAGAATTCTGATTTATTTGGCGTAATTTCATTATAATATGATAAGAAAAATAATCTACGTTAGCGCGCAACAAATCACCGATTGTTTTATGCTGCTGTGATTCCGCGATATTTTCAAGAGTTTGTACTCCAATATAGCTAATTAAACTGTTTCCACTGCCTAAAATTATTAATTTTTATTTTTTTGTTTAGAAAAAATTTTAAGCCATTACAGACGTACCTGCTCTTTCAATAATTAAATACAAGGTTTTTAAAAGATATCTATCATAACCGTGTTGTAAATTTTGTGCTATGTGGCCTAGTCCTTCTGTTAAGAGACAACACTGTATTATATTGCTCTGTGCCCGTATCAAAGGAGTATCCTCAGTTACTTCTATAGGTAAATACCATACTTCCTGTGTCGTATAAAAGTCTACGATTTCTTTATATAAATGTGAAACAGACGAATCTTTAACAGAAGCTGAAATAGAACAAATTGATATAAAATTTTATCTTCTGTAATGTTTCATTTTTTAAAGATATGCACTGCCTGTATTACCTAAGATCCAATTAAGTAGCAAATTCAGTTCCTTTCTGTGCTGTGGTGCATCTAGCATAAGTTCAAGAATAGTATCGATTAATATTCTAAAATCTCCAAATTCACCAAGTAATTTGCATATTGTAACAAGTTTCTCTTTACATAAACTATTCTTAATAAACTTAAATTGTCTCCATGAATTTGATCCATAAAAATATGCAGGATCATCTAAATCCTTTACATTTACTATTTGTAAAAGAGATACATTGTTACAATCTATAACCATAATGTATACAAGAGCTAGAAGCAATCTTTGATTGTGAGCTTGGGATCTCATAATATGAGGCAATCTTTGTTTTCCAAATAATTTTAAATAGCCGGCAAGTTGATTCAAATATACTAATTGTTCATCATCGTCTGAAAAGTATACAGATGAATATGTATTTTCATTTCTGTATTTACATTTTTAATAATTATGAATAAAAAATAGTTAAATATAATCAATAAAAAAATAATCTTACTTGATAGTCTAATACGTGTGGGCAATCTTGTAAGCAAGCTATAAAATTTATCTTCCAATAAATCGATTAATGGTTTCATATCATGATTTTGCATATAGTTTTCACTTAATGCATATAGTACACTGTGTGCTTTCTCGCTTACTTCTAAAGATTCATCTTCAGACAAGGAAATTAAATAATCTATTAATGCCATAACATTTCGTTTCATATTCCTATATAAAATAGATATATATTTATTCAGACGTTGCACAAATGTAAA